AAATAACGTTAATACTAACGACTACTCTACTAACGTACCGACTACTAAACCTAACCACACTACGTCTCCCACTCTCTCCTCCCCGACTCGATTAGTAGTCTCTCTCTCTCTCTCTCTCTCTCTCTCTCTCTCTCTCTCTACGGGCTTTCTATAACCCTTTCCTAAATACAATACCTAACTCTAGGACTCATTATATCTTCTCTCTTATCTTAGGGTTCTACTTTATGCTTGCAACATGTGTCAATCCCTTCAACTTGGCTTAATAGTGTAATATAAATTAGACCATTCATTTTTTGCACAAGGCAGTCGCAATCACATATAGTCATCAGATGTGAAATCCGACAGCTTAAATTGTATCGCATAGTTTGAAAAACCATATTTTGAATTTGTGCACAGCTAATAACATGCCTCTCGCCACCCGATTTTACAACTAACAATCAATAATGATTGTGACTACTTTATACAAAAAATAAATGGTTTCATTGTATGCATTTCCTTAATTGGAGATAATCTTATTACCTCCAGTCCTACATAAAACCTGCACTATGGTAACATACAATGGACGAATGAGACTCCTCAGTAAAAAAATGCCGTTAGTTCAGAAATCAAGTTTCAAACCAACTTACTAACACATTTTTTTTTTGTAGGTTCAGAATCCTAGTTTCCAATTTTATGCTTTACGTTCGGAACTTAGAGTTCTAGACTTTGATTTTAGCAAAAAAAAAAAAACAATTGGGTAAATATTTTAACAAAAACTTAGTTTCAATCTTTAAGTACCCATTGTGAAGTTTAAACAGCAAAAGACTTATATTCAGAACCAAAGTCCCGAAGAAGAAGAAAATGGGAAGCAAGTCGGTAAACCTTACTATCACGGCAAAGGCTAGGATGAAGGTTCAAGTGGTAGGAGTCCCACACCTAAGCGAGGATCAGTTCGATTAAAAGGTAGATGCTATCTTTGACGAACATAAGTTGGGTCAGAGTGAAGGAATCGGAATATAAGAGTTCTTGGTCAAGTGGAGGCCAGTTAAGAGAAGGATGCGACCCTCTTGGAAATCGAAGACCTAACTCTAGAGCCCCTATGAGGAGGGGGAGGCTCCTTATGTCTCCGACTTGGTACAATTGTATCGGTCATTTACTCAATCATGGGCCCCACTTGACTCAGTCTAACAAGGCTCCTGCACAAGCCATACGCACTTGAGCTACATGAAGGTGCAGAATGTCAAAAGGCACAAAAAAAAAAACAAGGGACATGCCGGGAGAATTAAAATTAAAAAATTTATCCCAAAAATATATCGATAATTATTTTTTAAATTTTTTTTTGACTCAATCAGCATGCGGCCAAGCTCGCACATGTAGAAATGTGGGCTTGGCAATAAATATATTTTTTAAATATAATTTCATCTTAATTTTTAGAGAATATATAATTTTTAACATGGAGATTAAAACAAAAAAAAATAAAAACTAAAAATAATAATAGTATTAAGAAAACATTTGAACCATTAATTACAATTGTTTTTAGATGAACCCCCTATTTGCATCCATCTTTAATATAGCTCCTTTATACTTACGGACTGCATACTGTATAAATGCGATCCAGCCCACATCAAACAATTTTCCTCTCTTTTTTTAACTTATTTTAACATTATATTATTTTTTCTTTTTTGTGGTCGAATGCCTGATTTTTCCCCACGCAACGGTCGTTACAAAATGATAACCGATCCTATCTTCAGCCCACTTTTCGGTAATTTGCTCTTTACAACTTAACATCTTTTCCCCATTAATACAACAAAGGCCCAAACACGAGCACAAAAACCTGTCCACCGCCGGCTTCTAACAAAATTGTTCCAAATACTTAATCACCCGATATTAAGGGTCATAAGAACACAAACTTGGGTAGCTAAAATTAACTTAAAATGGAACTTACTCATTTGCAATAATGCTATCAACTTTGGCTGAAATTATAAGTATCATATACTATGACACCATTTATCTTTTATACGGCTGAAATTATAGGTATCATATACTATGACACCATTTATCTTTTATACAAAAAAGTCACAATTACTTTTAACTACTAAATTTTCAAATTGGATGGCTTCGTACATATCACAAAATTCAACAAAATTGTGTTTAACAACTTTTTAAACCTGATAGACCAAACTAATTATGTTCTCCTTGTGCTAAAAGAAAATAGCCTCTTTATATCTGAAATTATATTCTTTCCATTTAAACGGCAAAATCAATATTGTATCAAATTGCAATCTTTATCATTCTTTCTAACTGGAAATTCTGATAAAATATTTCAAAACTATTGAAGTCCAAATGGGATGAGTGGGAGCATGTGCTTAGCTGATTCCACTGAATCAAAATCAATGGCATACAACCAAACCAACATCCATGTTAATCTAATTTTATTGAGAAGTTAAAAAGGGTTTCTCTATTCATGCCAAACACCATAGATATAGTGGGAACTCCCTTCCACAACCCAAGCCTCACCTCCAAATCTCCAATTTTCCATGCCCCAAGTTTCAAAGGGGAAGTAGAAACGGCATGGCCGAAAGAATAATAACAATTTGTGAAGTGTTTGCCATTTCCTTCCCGCCTTCTGGTGGGGAGGATCCTCAATAAACTATTAAATCAATTAACTATTGTTTTTGGTAATATTCCCTTCGGCGCACAGGTAAAAAAATGATGATGCCCTTAGAAGACCTGTTAATAGTTAGTCCAAAACTAGAGATGCAGATTAGAAGACGACACTTTTGTCTCGTAATCTCTGAGGAAGAAATCCCAAAAATGTATTGAGAATTCAGAGTTGTGACAGTCAAGCAACCTTCAGTTTGTCGTGTGGCCTTCTCGCGGCAATGTCTCTCTCACTCATGCACCTCCCCACAAACTTGAGAACCTCATCAATAAGTATAACAGGTAAGGCGACTGCTAAAACAAGAAGCCACTCATTCAAGCTAAGAGGCACAATTCCAAAGACCTCAGCCAAGAAGGGCACATAAAGAATTAGGAAATGAAGGCCAAAGGAGACTGACATGGCCATAAGGAGCCAGGGGTTAACCCAAGGGGGCATGGTTAATAGGCTGCCGTCCTCTGAGAGTGCATTGAACGAGTTGAACATCTCTATCGCAACAAGGACCGAAAGAGAGAGAGTCATGGCCTTGACTTTGCCTCCTTGGAAGTAGTCACAAGGGTTGGAGTCGAATGAGAAAACGCGTGAGCCTGCTGTGAAAGGAGAGACTGCAAAGCCCTCCCATGTGGAGCATTGGCCCCAGTTGGAGAGCTGGGAGTAGGTCACCAGGGTGTGGCCATCACCTGTGAGGTCAATGCCAAGGAAGGACTCGCTTGTGTACCATATGATGAAGACGCCCACTGTTGCCAAACCCACATAAAGCCCAATCACCTGCACAAACATAAAAGAGAAGGAAGCTCCAATAGATCACTCCAATGGCCCAAAGAACTAAAAACAACTCAATATCACCAGAAAGACATCCACTATCACACACCATTTATTGATCAAAACAAGGTAACCTCAGTTCATGCACATGAATAAAGTACTAACACACAATGTAGTGTTCAAAGCAAGGAAACCTCAGCTTTATATGCTTTATGTACCTCGTGTGCATGTCAGAAATGTATATGGAAGGCCTTTGCTCATAAAGAACATAGTTTTTGTTCATGATTGAATTGCTGTTGGAAAGATGGCAGTTGAAAAGTCTTGTGGTGAGCAGTCCAAAAGATGACATGTTCAAGGATTTTGTCAAAACATTGTTGAGACGATCTACTTTCCCCCCTGAAAGTCCTATTGTTTCGCTCTATCCAGATGGTCCAAATGGTGGCAACAATTGAGGCTCCAAAGAGAGCGGCCGGATTTGGGCCATGGGGGATAGAGGGAAATCCGAAAGAGGAGGGAGATTGATTCCAAAGAGACCCAAGTCCAATGGAAAAGGCGTAACAACTGTCTCCAAAGGGAGGCAGCAAATTGACAGTGGATAAAGAAGTGATTGTCAGTGTTCTTGGCTGCAGTGCACATGACACATCTATTAGGCAAGGGAAGGTCTCTCTCCTTTGGATGTCATCGATGGTAAGAACCTTTGGGAGAAGGCGATCCAAGAGAACTGAATTTTGGGAGGAATGAGTGAAAATCGAGCTTTGGCAGCAATGGAGGTCGGGGTTCAGGGGGAAAAAAGGGGGGGGCAGGTGAAGATCTTCCGGTACATTGAGGCCATGGTGAAGGAACCTATAGGAGAGGAGGCCCATAAAAGCTTATCTTCACCTGTGAGAAACTCGATCAAGGAGCTCAGTCAGGGCGGTGAACTCCTCAAGTTCCTAGTCCAAGAAGGCTCTTCGGAAAACGGGATTCCACAACCTCACAGGATCGCCAAGGGAAAAATAATCAGCTACAGTAGCCTGGAGGTCCCTGGCCAGGCAAGAAAGGAGGGCAGAAAGGTCATGCAGAGGGGAGGAACCAAGCCAAAGGTCATTCCAGAACTGTACATTATCTGCCACCCGAGGATGGAAGCAGATGTTAGCAATAAAAAGGTCCATACTCTGTAGAATGGATCCCCAAATACCAAAAATACTACCTGTGGTCCTAAAAGGAGGGATCCAAACTTAGCTACTGTTACAATATTTGTGACAAATGATGTGGTGCGAAGGATGATCCGATTGGGTAGCATATCTCCACCACCATTTACCCAAAAGAGCAAGGTTGTTAGGTTTAAATCTTTGGATACCAAGTCCACCTTGTGCAATGGGGAAGCACTCTATTCCAAGCAATAAGATTGGTATGTAAGGCCATCCGTCCCGGACCACCATAGAAAATTGCACATAATTTGTTCCAGGCGAGCGGCGACCGAGACAGGCATGTGGAACAAAGACATCTGATAAATTGGGGTATTCAAGAGGGTTGCCCTGATTGGGGTTTTTCTTCCCTCTTGGGAGAGAAATCTCCCCTTCCAGCCTGCAAGCCTCCTGTCAAATTTGTCAACTAAGTGACTCCAAAGGTCGACTCTGGGCAACTAAGTGGATGGGAAGGTATCAATAGTACAGCCCCATCTCCCAGCCAAGGAATGGACTAAAAGGGGCTCTATACAGACCCCCATCATCTTGGTCTTTGCCATATTGACTTCGAAACCTGTAACATACTCAAAACATTTCAAAAAAAGGAGGTAGTCGACTTGCTCCTGAGTTGCATCGCAAACCGTCTGCATACTGCAGGCGGGAAATAATGGGGCCACAGGAAAAACATTGGAAGCCAAGAAGGAGACTGCTCAAGTAGAAGCGCAAGGTGGCCCTGCTAAAAACCTCATCCACAATGGCAAAGAGGAAGGGTGAGAAGGGGTCGCCTTGGCAAAGACCCCGAGAGGCAGGGAAGAAATCCATTGAAGATCCATTGATAATCACAGAAAATAAGGGATTAGAGATGCAACCCCTCATCCAACATCTCCAACAAGGTCCGCAACCCATCCTTGTTTGGGTCTCATCAAGGATATCCCAACGAACATGGCTATAGGCCTTTTCCCAATCCCATTTGACAACTAGTCCAAGAATTTTGGAAAGGGAGCGGGAGTGAATGCACTCGTGGGCAAAATGAGGGCTCCATCGAGATTTTTCTTATCCTTAACGAAAGCACCTTGGCTAGGGGAGATAACCCAACCAAGAACTTCTTTAAGCCGAGAGGCCAAGTCTTTGGATAGGATCTTATACGAGCCGTTGATGAGACAAATGGGTCTAAAGTCTTTAAGTTCCTCAGCGCCTTTTTTCTTGAATCAAGGCAAGAAAATTAGCATTGCTGGACCTGTTAACTACCCCCCGAGAGTGGAATTCAGTGAAGAAGTGAAGAATATCAGGTTTAAGAGTCTTCCAGAAGGATTTGAAGATGGAAACCGGGAAACCGTCAGGGCCAGGGTGCCCTATCTTGACCAAGGTTGGTAATGGCCTTGTAAATTTCGTCCTCCTCAAATGGATGCTCTAGCCAATCTGCTCTGTCAGCTGGGAGAGTGAGGAAAGAGAGATCATGCATCAAAAGTCTGGGCCCAGAAGGTGAAGAGAAGAGGTGGGAGACGTATTCTACCACGGCTTGTTCAATGAGGAGGCGTTGGTCAATAATGGAGTTTTTCTTTTAATAAAGTTGGTTTGCCAACCTTGATATGGGAGATTGAGTTTTCCCGTCTTCTACAATTAGCAATTCTGTGAAAAAAGGCAGTGTTGAGATCCCCCTGTTCTAGCCATTTGATTCTGAAACTTTAGGCCCAATAGATCTCCTTCTTATTCAAGAGGAGGTGGTAGTCCATTTTAACTTGAGTACGGGCTTGAAGATCCAAGTGGGAAAGGGACCTGGATTCTTCGGTTGAGTCCCACAGTTGGATGGAGTTGAGCAAAGCCTCCTTGAAAGCACAAAAATTACCACAGAATTGGCAGCTCCATTGTTTGAGGGCATGTTTGAGTAACTGGAGTTTTCGTTGCATTTTGAAAACTGCCCGTCCGTGCACTATGGGGGCAAAAGAGGCCCACCAGCCTTGAAAGAGGGAGGGGAAGTGGGGTTCTTCCAGCCAAGCCATTTCCAACCGGAAGGGAGGAGGACCCTTAGAACTGTTTTAGTGTCAAGGAGAATAGGTCAATGGTCAGAGGTGGGTTTAGGTAGAGCAATGGCATGAGTGCCAGGGAAGGAGTCCTATTCGATAGAGATAAGGAATCTATGGAGTTTATAAAGGGAGGGTTGGGCAGCATGGTTTGACCATGTGAATTCGGTACCTTGGAGGGGTGTGTCAATGAGGCTGGTGGAGGTGATGAATTTCGAGAATTGGACCATGCTGGAGGAGATGGTGGAGTCAGAATTACGTTCGAAGGACCATCTAGTGGTGCTGAAGTCCCCTCCTATGCATTTGGGCCATAAACAGTGGTCCATTTCCATCGAAGACCATCGGAGTTCCTAGTCAGGAACAGGGTAATAGAGAATGCTCCGACCCAAAAGGAAGAAAGGAAATGGACCATGGGGTCCCATATCACCCAATTCCACCTGAGGCCCCGAGGGCCTCCCATTGGCAAGGTCGACGTCCCCAAAGAAGACGAACTGCGACCAAGGTGGGAGGGGAGGATTTGCAAAGCCAAAATGGAGGCGGAGAACTTTCTACAGAGATCTCTGAAAGCACTTCTCTTCCAATGATGTCCCAAACACAGATCTATAAGGTGAGGATAAACATGTGGGTGGGGGGGGGGGGGGGGGGTTTGGCGTAGTGCGCTTGATGTTGCGCTTAGATTGGCGCTTGCCTGAGGGGCCTGAGGCATCCGAGAGCAAGTTGGGGATGGAAGTTTTTCCTTTTCATAATTTAAGCCCCAAGCAAGTCTAGATCGTTCACGAGTACCTTTGGAGGGCTTCTGGAGCTGTGGTAGGGCCTCTGATCTGATGGAGGCTTCAAAGACGTCCAAAGGTCCATCATACTTGAATCCCATTACTCGGAGAACCTGGTTAGCATCCCCTTGGGTTTGGAGAAGATCCTCAAAGAAGCCAGAGTCGACTAGGAGAGGGTGGTTAAAGGCACTACGCACAATGAAGGAATACCAACCGGGTGGGGTGGGTGGTGGGTCGAGGGGGGAGGAGCAGTAAAGACCAATGTTTTAAAATGCGGCCGCATGGCCACGTATGCAACTGCATCATGCGGGATGAGCTGGCAACCACATGGCAAAATAGTGCATATGCGCTTTGGTGGGATGCTCCCACATATGCGCCGGCCACACGGCCACGTACACGCCCCGCGTGCGAAATGAAAAAAAAACCCTTGAAAGGGGGTATTTTTGTCTTTTAAACCCCCAAAAAGGGGGGAAAAGGGTTTTGGGGGGTATTAAACCCCCCAAACCACCAAAATCAGCCACATCCATGGCCTTTAGGACATCAAAACGATCAAAAAATAAAAATGGCGAAATGTTTTTTTCGAAAACCTTGGATGATTGTTGGCTGTTGATTGGTTTATTTTGGGTGCTAATTTGAGGAAGTTTTAGCAAAGTTCTGACAACAAATTAAGGATTTCAAGGGCCTAGAAGAAATCAATATTTTTTTCAAGTAATCTGTAAATTTTTATTTCCTAGTACACTAATACTTTTTTGGGGGCAATGTCTTCTTCACAATCTTGTAGTAACAGTGATCCGGGTTAAAAATATGGAAAACTAAAAAAACCGAAAGACCGACATTGTGTTATTTGTACTCTTTGTCGAAAATACTTATATGGGGGATATTTTTTGACAAAAAGAACACACAGACAGAATTACTAAGAATGTAAGAGCATGCCCACAAGCTACCGAAGATATCCAAAAAGGAGATTCGAGAATACATGGATAGATTGAAAAAGCAAAAAGAAAAGAAAATAATGAAACAAAAAGAATTAATTAATGAAATTTAATTATTTGATGAAGATTAAATTGATGAGCATATGTTAGAAGTTAGTATGAGGCAAAGGGGTACTCCAAGGTCAAGAGAGAGGGTTATAAATATTGGTGGTAGTATTGGTAAAAAAAAACACCTCTCTTTAAGGGGCCAATGAAAAGATTTTGCACCCCCGACCCTGAAGTTCTGGTTTAGGAGAGGTCCGAGAAGAGGAAAACAAACAAACCACAATTGAAAATCAATACATTGCAATGTGGTTTTACATGGCCGGCATTCCTTTTAATACTATAACCCTTGATAGTTTTGCATGTATGGTCCTGGCGATTAGGCAATTCAATCCAAAACATAATCCTCCTACATTATATGAGATTAGGGAGCCCTTATTGAAGGATGTTGTATCTGATGTTAATGGGGTAGAAGCTAAGGATAGAGCTTGCTCGGTGAAGGTAAAATGGGTTGGGACTGGGACAGGGGAGTACGAAGAGGGCGATAACGGGCTAGGGTTTGGAGGGGAGAGCCTGAGGGTTGGGGGGGATATGGGGAAGGAGACATGGGGTTGGGGAAAGGGTGGGGGCAAGCTGGTGGCGAGAAGGGTGTCGGGATGATGATGACATTTGCTGAGACCCATTGGTACAAAAGCACAGAGGGTGCTGAGAAGCACTGGGGTGAGCAATCAAAGGATGAGGGGGTCGGCAAGGGTAAGGAATGTGTGTTGTGCGAGTAGGCTTTCGACCTTTTGACAGTGGAGTTGGGGGAGGGCGGGTACTCTTCTAACACGGGACAAGGGTTGTCCAAAGGTTGATTGTCTGTATTCCAATCTAGATCACTGGGGGACAAGAGATAGTCATTTGAGGTTGAGGGATCAGCCGGTGGCTGATCAAGTACACTAGGGGTCGGCTGGCGAGCGCAAGAGGCCAGGGGATCCTCCGATAGCAACACGAGGTCCAACACGGAAGGGTCTATCGCTGAAGAGGGAGGGGGGAATGGGGAGAGACGAGGTAAAGGGGAAGGTGGAACCAAAGTACGGGCCAAGGTGAAGTAGGGTTCCTCTTGGGAAGTGGAAGGAGGAGCAAGGGTTGGAACATGGGGGTTAGGTGGGATGGCAGATGGGGGCCACATGGTTTGCAAAGCGAGAGATTTGGGTATGGACGGTGCGATGTGATGCAACCAAAAGTCAAAGGGGTGAAAGACGGAGATGACAGTGGAAAAAAAGGGGGACCATTGGATAAAGGAGGGATGCGAGGGGGTGACCTAAGTTTGGGGAGCAATGAGGAGAGGGAAGGTGTAACGTGTGATGAGGGAGAAAGTTTAATACCAAAGTGTGGCCAGCTGGCGAGGCAGAAAAAGGTGGCACAGGTGTCGCCTCAATGTGAGATGTGGAGTCCACGAGCACACATTCTAGACAGTTAGGGAGCATCTTTCCTCTCCTCAAACTCCATCAAAATTAGGTAAAACATTCTAGATGGACTTTAAGCGAGGAACTATGTTCCCTAGTCAGCTCGGGAAGTTGTTAGTATCCTATTTGAACCCATCCGTGTAGCATGTATCTCATGCACACATTGGTATCTGATGCTAATTGCTTGCCATTTAATGAAACATTCCATGCTAACATGCAACCATTCAGATACCTTGAACCTCCAATAATATGCATTCATATGGATAAAAATCATAAGAAAAATCAACTACATAGAATACCGCAAATCACGAATACTGGAAACATAAAAAAAAAAATCTCAACTCACCAGGTACCGAAATAAAATCCATGCACTGATCAAAGAGTCATCATTCCTTCGAGGCAGTTTCTTCATTATATCTTTATCAGGTGGATTGAAACCCAAAGCAGTTGCGGGGGGACCATCAGTGACCAGATTGACCCACAGAAGCTGAACAGGTATGAGCCCTTCAGGAATACCTATTGCTGCTGTTAGAAAAATAGAAGCAACTTCACCAATGTTTGAAGAGATCATGTATCTGCCATGAAACATGAGTACCATCATTCCTTACACAGCACAAAATCAGTAGAAACATACACAATTTGTATTATTTCAAGTACCAAATATCATGAATAGATCTGCAATGAAGCATGAGGCCCCACCAACCATTACATGGAGCTTCCAAAGTTGTTAAATCAATCCAATATACCAAATTTATATTATAGAGAGGAGAAAATTTCATGAATAGATGGTTCAGATTCTTCCAAACTTCAATCCCATTTTGAACTGTTCCTAAACACAGATCCTCATTTATATATCATGATCTACCCTAAAGTGAATGACCCAAGGACACAATATATCTTTCTCAAAAAATTCAATTACAGAAGTTACAAAGGGCAATGATCTGAAATGCCTATTGGAAAGCTCCTGCTCGAATTCATGCAAGCACACATGACATTCCTTAATTAAGGATTTTTGTATTTTGAACGCATTTAAAAATCTGAAACATCCAAACCATGATATAGAGAATACGAATAATACATAGCATAAACTATTAGTTGCAATAATAAACAACAGTGCCAACATACAATGTACTGACCAAGAAAATAGTTCTCCATGATGGTTCCAGTTTTACTCCTTGTATTTCCATAGAACGTGATCCAACAAGCAAAGGGAGGACCATGAGTGAACTCAACATGCGCCATTACAAAACCAAGTTGCCATACAAAACTGTTTAACCAATCCAACTCCATTGGAAGACAGATGAGTTTGAAATCACTCGGTAAGCTTAATTGATGTAGCGTCAGGGGCTCAACTCCTATATGAGTGTAACACAAGCGGTGGTGTCAAAAGTTGATTTAGGAATTCTATTCAGGAATTCTATTAAGTTATTATTTAGGAGTTCTAAAGGGTTTTAGGTTCCTATAAAGACTAGGACAGCAGGGGTTTGTGCCATATTAAGGTCCAAATCAGGGGGTTCAGCCTTATGAAGGTTTCCAAAACGGGAATGAAGTAAAATTAGGGTTAGGGTTATGGGGAAAAGGTTCAGCTGGTTAGGAAAAGGTTTAAGATAGGGTTTGAGGCTTCCAAAGGGGGGCTCAAGTTTGCTGGAATTTAGTAGGGCCAGCGAGACTAGTACGAGAGAAGGACGATGAGATAGATTCTAGGATTATTAGGTAAAATTAGGGTTTAAATTCAAGTTTGAAAACCTCGGAGGGTAGGCATATAGCTAGGAGGTTTTTGAGTTAGTTAAACTAAGCTTTGAAGAGGTTTAGCTAGGGATTATAAAGGTTTGAATAGGTGACAAATTTAGTTGGGAATTTTAGATGGAGATAAGCCACACGAGGGGAGGAAGAGAAGGGGCCGGATCCTAAGTGGGGGACCATCTTCAATCCACAGGCCAGTATTTTGAGGAATATTTCCAGCAAAAGAAGAGGGGATCTTCTAACCTTTGTGGAGATTATCCCAAACATAGGCAAGAGTTACAAAATCACTCTTTCTATAGAAAGAGTTCTGGAATTTCTCGACTCAAATTTTATTATTCAACTTATATATGAATCGGCTATAGCATCGTTACCATAAACAGGATCAGATCAGATCCGGGATTGCGATTGTGGGATCGTGACAAGCAGAAAGCTCCCTATGGTAGGCATCACGGTCCTTACACCCTAAAATCTATGGATCTCTATAAGGAACGAATGATAAAATATATATGACCGAGCTCCATATGACAAAATCTAGGCCCCTAAAGAGCATTTCACTAGCATGGTAGTATAGTATAACTATATAATATACTACAGCTGTTATCCAATACCAGCGTTCCAAAAAACGTCGGGCGGCACCTAGGCAGTCTGGAGGGTCTAGGCCGCCCAGTGCCTAGGCAGCGCACAGTACCTGAGCAGCCTAGGTTTAAAAGGGGGCATATGGTGTCCAGTAACCCTGTTTTAGGTACATATGTTGTACAAAGTATGCCTATTCATGCATTTTTTATAATCCAAACAAAAAAACTAACAAAAATACCCCAACCGATGGGTATTTTTTCACCAAGTCGGGTGCAGTCCCCTAGGCGCCTGCCCAGGTATCGTAGGCGCCCGCCTAGGCAAGTACTAGGCAGGCGCCCAAAGACAGCCCACCTAGTTGGTCAGCTCAGGTCTGGGCCGTGCGCCCAAGTCCCCCCATCCCACCTAAGCGACCGTTTAGGCACTAGGTGGGCCGCTTTTTTAATCAATGTCCAATACTATATTATTATATTGTACTACAATACTATGTTAATGTAATACAACTTTTATCCAATACTAAGGGCCATAACCCGGGGTACTAGGAGGGGTGAGCTGGATACAGTCCTAACCTTTGGCTTTTTATGCACAAAGTGGCCACTCTTAGGACTCAAACCCATGCTCTTGCACTACAATACTATAGTGTTATATTGTATTGCAATACTATGTTAATACACTATATCCTACTGTACTATACTATACGCTACATAGTTACCAAAATCTCTCACCGAAGGTCACGATTTGATTTGGAACCCCAATTCGCCAATTCCAACTAGGAATCTTCACAAAACCCAATTCTGTTAAGTCTGAAATCTAGATTCCTTATTTAAGGAATCTCAACTCCAACACTAATAAAATCTTGTTTCTAATATTTATTGATTCTCAATTCCACAATTGTTCAATCTCGATTCTACACTTATTGATACTGGTTTCCACAGTAACCAAATTTCTACCCCCCCCCCATGTGCTCCTTTTCCTTTTTTTTCTTGTTTTTGTTTTTTTTTTAGACGTGATGTTTAGAAGTTTCAAAGGCATCAAACTACTCGAGCTATACACTTAATCTCAAGCTACAAGGTGTAGTCATCTTTTTTGGCACGAAATGACCAATAGAAACCAAAGCGGTGGTTTGTGTTCTCTATTTAATTCTTTAAATATGCATTGTATTGACTCCAAGATGTGAGAACTAATGTAATACAAATAGTGTAAACATGCACGTATGGCATTACGGTTAATGAATGGCATTGAGACATGTATTGTTTCCCTCTCAGTTCCCTCTCGATCTCAAAGATGTCAGAATTTTGATTCCATAGATGAAGGAATCTCGATTCCATATTGATCGATTCCAACTAAATCGAAAACTCGATTCAAAAGAGCTAGGAATCTTGATCCTAACTATGCAAGGATCTCGATTTTGTTTTGGTCAAATCTCAATTCCTAAAAATAGGAATCTCGTCCTCCATGATTCCTCTTGTATGAACATAGATTCCAAAAATAGGAATCTTCCTGCTGGCAGCAATTCTGCACTTCCGATTCCCAAATCGATTTGGAAACCAAATCGCTTCTCGTAACTATGATATGCTACTATACTAAAATCTACTATAAACAACTATATAATATACACAATACAACACAACATATATTACTATACCACACCAATGTACCATACTATAATGCTAGGCAATGTTGCAAAATTCGGCTGGCCAGGAAAAAAAATGCCTAGTCATGCACTAGGCAGGTACCCTAGACAGGTGTGCTCTAAGGCGCCCAAGGCGCCAGTAAAGCGCTGCCCGAGCGCCTCAATGCAACTTGGTTGAGGGTCATTCTTTCCACCCAACGCCTAGGCACCTAGAGCTAGGCGGCCTCCTAGGGCAGTAATACCTGAGCGACCGCCTAGGCAACCCAGGTAGGCGCCTACCACCTAGGGCCCTTTTTTTATAATAAAGTGCCCCCTAATAGCACTTTGGGTCATTTTTGCCCCACAATTTTTTCATAAAAGCCTATTGGGGATATTACAAACCCCCAAAGTGAAAAACAAAATTAGAATCTAAGCCCCCAAATCTATTGATTTTGATATATCTGTGAATCAAAAAGTTAAATTTACATTTTAGTATTCCATCCTCTTGTATTGGACACTTGGGCTATTGATTTTATACTTCTTTTTTGTATTTCATCTTGTCTAGTTGTGATCATGTTCATGTGTCAGTATAGACTATGGAGTATCCCTTACTCAGTTTGGATTCGATAGTTGGAAGTTAATACACCATGGGCTTGTTTATGTTTTTTTTAACTTTTTTCACTAAATTTTCAACGATTTAAAGTTTTGAATGTGTTTCAACATTCATTCATACATATCTGCATAAAAAAGGATAGTTAAAATACATATAAATGCAAAACAAATACAAAATCAACAAGACATATATGCAATTTTTCACCTCCATGCGCCTAAGGTCTGAGCGCCCACCTGGCCGGCCGCCTAGCATTTATTGAAACAATGCCTAGGGTCGAAAATGTCGTCGCCCAAGGGCGGCATTTTTGTCATTTCCCACCTAAAAAGTGGGGGAAATGGTTTTGGGGGACATTCTAGCCCCCCAAAACCCTTTTTGTGAGCCTTCGAAAGAGAAAAGCTCTCAAAATTTTGTGATTTTAATATCTTTCTCAATATCAATAAAATTTTAAATATTTTTTATTATTCACAAAATCAAAAAATTTTCTACCTGATACTTTTTGGAGCTTGGAGTGGTTGCAAAAGAGGAATTTTGACAACCAAAGGTCACCGTTTTGGGCCTATATCGATTTGATTTTAGAAAAGTTAGTGTCGAACAATATTTGAATTAGGATTTTGTGATGTTATGTTTAAAATGTGTTATGACTGGTTTCTATTTCCTTTTTTGGTTTTTATTTTTATGATATGCTTACAATTTTGGCTTTAGATTATTCTCCTATATTCAATAGTAGCTTTTTTATTTGGGTTTTTTTAATTTTCTATATATTGAGAAATTCAATCATAGGAAAATGCCATTAATCTTAAACCAAATTGATATTATTTGGTCTTTTTCAGATTGGGAAGTCAAATCTTAGGAAAAAATCACTAATCCAAAACCAAATGGATGTAATTTGTGCTTGAGTTATTCTACTTGCATGAATACTTGAGTTTAGCAATTGTTTGTATTTTTTAAATTAATAAATATTTCTTCATTTTATAATTGGTTTCCATGTTTGTTTGGTAAATTTTTGTACTTTCTTTACTTCATTTAATACTTAAAATTTATTTTCTGATCTTGTATAGACCTAGACATAAGTTGGGTTGCAAAATTAAATACTTTGATCTTGCACATTTTGAAGTTAATTGATTAGGTGATTGTGAGCTGTGGGCTGTGAATCGTGCAAATTGACAATGTCTCAACTGGTACAATTAAGCAAATTGATCCGGGTTGGAAATACAGGTCTTGTCCAAATCCAAATGACAAGGATAGAGTGGACGGCAAACTTTGCAAGAAATCTTATAACATCAATATTAATAGATTAAAGAAACATTTGGCTGGTATTAGTGGCCCCAGGTACTTGAGGACCACTTGAGGTTAGAAGACAGATGTTGGGGTCAAAAAAAAGAGAAAGAGGCGGCGAAGAAAAGATGTGAATCTTGGGAGGGGTGTAGCTATACTTGGAGTTCAGGAAGAAGAGGATGTATAAGCCGAGGTTGGGTCTTCTAGTAGGCTGACGGGCCCAGTCAAAAGTGGCCTCGAATAAGGGGGCAAAGAAAAGATATACCTCAAACTATTAAGAGAAATGAAAGCATTATGAACTCGATGATGAATTGTCCAATGGAGACCATGTTCTTGAGGTCCATTGACATATCTGACAAGACACATAATGTGAGATTCATATGTGATTTGGTGGACAAGTGTATAGAGGACATGGGTGAGGATTATGCAGTCCAAGTAGTGACTGAATTGGCCACAGCCAATATGACAACTGCTAACATATTGACAGCAAAGATGCCGCATGTTTTTTGGTCGCCTTGTGCAGCGCACTGCATAGAGGCAATTAGTAAGATAAAGTTTTTCATTATGCATTGTTTTTTTACTACATAGAAGTTATGTGATGTCACTGTAAGTTTGTAACTTAACTTAAATTGACCATGTCTTTGCCATGATGAGGAAGTATACATATGATAAATACTTGGTGCGACCTAGGGTGACTAGATTTTGCCACCACCTTGTCTTTACATCCTTATTGGAAGACAAAGAAAAGCCTAAGGCAATGTTTATTTCAGAAGATTGGACCAAAAGCAAGTGGGCCAAGAGGGCAGATTGGAAAGCAGTGATTAGCATTGTCTTGGACTCTCGATTTTGGAATAGCATTCAGTTTTTCGTAAGTGCTTTTTATCCATTGGTGAAGATATTGTGGTCGGTGGATAGTGAGAAGGAACTGGCAATGGGTCACATTTATAAAGCATCAAGCTTGCCAAGGATGAAATCAAGAGAGAAATTGGTAATAATGAAGCTAAACATGGTCCTTCTTTGAAAATTATAGAAGAGAAATGGAACTCACAGCTTGAGAGGCCCCTATACGTAGCAAGGTATTACATTAACATTGCTCATTTCTACACTAATTGTGAGATACACAACAAAGAGTTAGTTCATGGATGCAATCAACCATTACAACATAAAACTCGACCCTAATTCCAATGTCCAAGACAAGGTGTCAAGGGATTTGGGGAAGTATAGATTCTCAATGGAGCGTCTTGGAAAGGACTTGGTAATAAGGGCAAGGACCAAGATCTATCCTGTTAAGTTTAGAACTTATTCATTTTGATTTTTTGATTTGAGTAATTACCTCTAACTAATACACTAAACTTTGGTACTGCATTTTCATCAATGTAACATAGTTGCATGGTGGACAAAACATGGGGAAAGCACTCCACATTTCGGTAGATGGCTTTGCAAATCTTGAATTTGACTCGTACCTCATCTGGATGCGAGCGCAACTTCAGCACATTTGAAATGGTCATCTAGGTACTGCATTTTCATCAATGTAAAGCTGTATGATGGACAAACCATGGGGGAAGCACCCCACATTTCGGTAGAGATGGCTTTGCATATCTTGAATTTGACTTGTAGCTCATCTGGATGCAAGCGCAACTTCAGAACATTTGAAAGGGTCATATTATTTGACCATTGTCTCTTGTGTTTTACTAGTTTTCTTTTTTAGATAAACTCGTGTGTTCCTAGTTATTATTAGTTAGTAGTTACTTAGTTTACTAGCCTATTCCTAACCTATATTATGTTTTTCAAAATTTTACTTGTTCATTCACAATCGATCCATAGAAAAAAGAGAAACAAACTTGAGCAGAAGAGAAACCTTACCTTTGTTCAGTATAATCAAAAGATGAAGCCGCACTATCAGAAGCATAATGAAAGGGAGGCTCTTGCTATTTATAAGGTAGACAAGTGGCTTGTTGATGCTGGGGATGAGGAGGTGTTCCCTGGAGAGGGATTGACAAGAAACCAAGTTCGTGAGGCTTCTAGGACAGCATTGATCCTTGTGCAGACCACTAGATCTAAATCTCAATGGAAGGGAAAGAAGTTGATGAGAGCGAGAGAGGAGGGTGAAAAGGAAAAAGCAGATTTAAAATCGACAAGGAATGACGATGAATATGTTGAGGACGGGGATGGCGACAATGATGATGGCATAGCATCATCATCAAAATCTATTCAGAGTGATGACGAAACTCAAATGTCATTTTGAGTTTATCACATCTGGACATCATGCTAAGAGTCTTAACAGTTTATCAGTTTCTATTTTGTGTTTTGTTGCCATTTTTAATTTTAATTTTTTTTTTTTTGTGTGGTTACTTTGTGTTTGGTGTTGCTAGTGTCTAATGTTAAGTAGATCAATGATTATGGGCATATGGGATATTGGGATTTGATGAGTTAAAATTGAAATGCAACTTTGTATGGATTTGGGGCAAGTAACCCTTATAAAGTTTTGGCATTTCAAATTCAAGTTTCAATTCATGTATACATTTCAAATAGCACAACATAATGGCCCTG